ACTCATAATTCCCGTCCTGCTATATGGTGCAGAGGCTTGGACGATGTCAACAACTGAWGAGTCGACATTGCGAGTTTCGAGAGAAAAGTTCGGCGAATTATTTATGGTCGTTTGCGCGTTTATCACGGCGAATATCGCATTCGATGGAACGATGAGCCGTAGGAGATATATGACGACATTGACATAGTTCAGCGAATTAAAAGACAGCGGTTACTCTGGCTAGGTCATGTTGTCCGAATAGACGAAAACACTCCAGCTCTGTACCCAAAAAATAAGGTGACCATTGAATTTAAACTGCGCGCGTCGAAGGATTTAGAGAATTATTTTGTTGTTTTAGGTTGGCAGTATTGTCAGTCACATTTATGTCAAATTTCACGTCAAAATATTCATTAGTKTTTGAGATACGTGTGGTTTTGTGAGGTGCTAAGAGTGAGATTTTCGTATTTTGCGATGTCAAAATTTGTTGAGCAAAGAATTTGCACTAAATGATCATTTCGCCAAAAACTCAACCCATATCGCTTCGCAACCACCCTATTCACCTGATCTGGCCGTGTGACTTCTGGCTGTTCACCAAGCTCAAAAGACCGCTCCGGGGATACCGTTTTGTACGATATTCAAGCCGCAGCGAAGACGGAACTGAAGGCCATCCCGGAAAGTGACTACAACCAGTGTTTCGAAGATTGGAAAATCCGTTGCCATAATGTACTACATYTAATGGGGATTACTTTGAAGGGGATGAACTTGATTTGGAAGAATAAATGAAGAATTTTCAAAATAAATACAATGTCACCTTATTTTTTGAGCACAGTATATCCCAAAAGACTAATGTCATAACCTTTCCAGCCGACTTTTTCGTCTTTCTACTCTTGARAACCGGTTCATCATGTGCAGTCCACTAGAATGACTGTGGATTGGACTTCAGTGGGAAATGATGAAGCTATGTTTCTGTTGTCACACACCGACGGAAAAATTCGGTTTTATTACGATTAAAGAGCACTCAAACACTTCTCAGAATCAGTTGTTCGTTGTTTTTGTTGCATTACTTGGCACCCAATTTCCACAGAGCTTTCGCCTCTTTAAGCTGCATATATCTTTTCATCGGAGGATTTCCCTGATCTCAAATTCAACAGTATTTTCCCCCAAAAGCAATGCTTTATGATAAATTTTTTGTAAACTAACACGTATTGCTTCACAAAAATGCTATATCTTATTAACTAATAGTTATAATCCAATCGAAATCATATAGATGGTAATAGTAGTATTATATATGTATCAGCCACAGTGAAGCGTGGACGGGTCCTCTAGTATATACATATATATAGTACACAAATTTTACCGAAATTATGGGTATATCTGTGAGATACCTTAAAGAAAATCACAGAGCATCTTTTTCTGAAAATAACAAAAATTGTGTAACAAATTTCTTACGTTAAAAAATTTCATACTTCCGGTTAAATTTATAGCGTATATATCCATAAATAAGTACGATATTCTTTGATTCTTGTAAAGCACAAGAGTATAAAACCTGAACTTATCCCTTCTTTACTTCTTTATTAATTATTTAAAAAACTCTTCATTTGAAGGCTGATTATAATAAATTTGTGGATGTTGTGTACAACCGGAATGAGTTATAAACGGTATAGAAAACTAGTGAAGAGGTTAGTTAATACTAATTGTTGTAATTGTTTTAAAATAATAAGAACATTCTATTCAACATATTTGAAACTCATTAAAAACCGTATTCGAAAACATTAACAACAACACATTGCCTGACAACTGCCTATCGACTTAGTGGGTCAACATATCCGGATATAATGCTAGAAATTTAGTGAAAAAAATAAATAAATAAATACATCTAAAACTATTGTAATTACTTTTGATTCATATAAATGATTATTAGTGTATGTAAACTTTTTTGATATGAATTAGGCGCATTTTAAGCTTTAATATTAATTTCATTTATTTGAGTAAAAAAAATTTTTTGATATGCTATATTTCATGTTAAATATCCATCTTTTGAAATATACGTATATAAAAAGAAATACAAAATATTTTCATTTTGAAACAAATAAACGTGTCGCAGATTAATAAAACTAGGTGTATGTAAACTTTATTGATTCACTGTATACACTTGTGGCCACGCAAAGCTTACCACTTTGTTAAATATTTTTACGTACTTTTGCTTCGTTCGGAATTTTCTTCAATTTTGTTTTTTATTAAATTCTTAGTGAGCAGAAGTTAATTATATTTTATTATCTAATTATAATTATAGTTTTTACCTTATTACGTTTAATGAGTAAAACACAAACTAGCTTTTCTGTGCTTACACAAATGCGGTCGATTTTATTGTTTTTAAAGTAATACCGCGACTAAACTTCGTGTTTCAATTAACAAAAAAAAAAAAGAAAATAAATTAAAACATCAATTTCAATTACAGTGTAAATGAAGTTAAATTAAAAAAAAAAATAAAAACTATAGTTTTTTCATCGCATGTCAGTCTTATACATTTCGAGCTCATTTTGTAAAGCTTGATTTTTGGTTTGTTTTTAAGTTTTAATATTCTTGATAAATAAAAAAAAATGTCTATACCGCAAAAAGTCCCACTATAAAAATTTTATTATTTGTCACAACACTTGGAAATTTTGAGTGGTAAGTTTTGCGTGTCCACGAGTGTACATATGGATTTTCGACTAACATAAACATATAATTACCATTGTATAACGGATTTCTGCAATTCGCTGATGAATTAGATGACTGTGTGGATTATGTAGTAAAAGTTCTTCCATACAGAAAACCGCTTTGGAGTAGTCCCCTTCTGCCAAATATAGTCCACATAACTCATGCCAAGCTTCCTGATCAGACATAAACCTTTAAAATACATTTGGATTAGAAGCGGTCTCAATAAATGTAATATATACATYATACATTTTATATATAATATATATTCTAAGACGTAACTATACATACTATAGTCGTTTTAACCCCTAGAATAAATTGTGAAATACACCCATCATATATTATCCAAAAATTAAAAATAAAAACTTCATTATATTTATTTAATTTAAAGTATTTTTAAGTACTTCTTCTTCTTGATTGGCGTAGTAACCGCTTACGCGATTATAGCCGAGTTAACAACMGCGCGCCAGTCGTTTCTTCTTTTCGCTACGTGGCGCCAATTAGATATTCCAAGCGTAGCCAGGTCCTTCTCCACHTGGTCCTTCCAACGTAGTGGAGGTCTTCCTCTTCCTCTGTTTCCCCCGGCGGGTACTGCGTCGAATACTTTCAGAGTTGGAGTGTTTTCGTCCATCCGGACAACATGACCTAGCCAGCGTAGCCGCTGTCTTTTAATTCGTTGAACTATGTCAATGTCGTCGTATATCTCGTACAGCCCATCGTTCCATCGAATGCGATATTCGCCGTGGCCAACGCGCAAAGGACCATAAATATTTCGCAGAACTTTTCTCTCGAAACTCGCAATGTCGACTCATCAGTTGTTGACATCGTCCAAGCCTCTGCACCATATAGCAGGACGGGAATTATGAGTAACTTATAGTTTGGTTTTTGTTCGTAGAGAGAGGACTTTGCCSCTCAATTGCCTATTCAGTCCGAAGTAGCACAAGAGTTATCCTGCGTTGGATTTCCAGGCTGACATTGTTGGTGGTGTTTACGCTGGTTCCAMGATATACGAAATTATTTACGACTTCAAAGTTATGACTATCAACAGTGACGTGAGAGCCTAGTCACGAGTGCGACGACTGTTTGTTTGATGACAGGTTGAAAAAGTCGCACGATAAGGAATCGCCTTGTCTGAAACCTCGTTTGGTATCGAACGGCTTGGAGAGGTGCTTTCCGATTCWGACGGAGCTTTCGGTGCTGCTCAGCGTCAGTTTACACAGCCTTATCAGTTCTTCGCCGCCATGTTTGAATAGCTCAGCCGGCAATCCATCGACCTCCACCGCTTTATTGTCTTCAGGCGGGTAATTGCTATTCGAACTTCTTCATGGTCGGGCAATGGAACGTCTGCTCCTTCGTTATCGATTGGGGAATCGGGTTCGCATTCTCCTGGCGYTGTGCGTTCACTGCCATTCAGTAGGCTGGAGAAGTGTTTCCTTCATAATTTAAGTATCCTCTGATCATCGGTGACTAGATCACCTATGGGGGTTCTACAAGAGTATGCTCAGGTATTGACAC